TGGATTCAATTCAAGATATATTTCACATAAGGCATTTTCAATAATTGGTATCATTTCAGTTGGGTAATCTTCTAATTGTTTGTAGAGTAATTCAGGTAAAATAGAACAATCTAAATTATAAATAAAATTCTCTGTCATTCTTATATCTTCAAACCTGTCTAAATATCCACTGCTTGATCTTATAAAAGATTTAAAATTTTCAATAGTTTCTGATACATTTATAGTTGTTCCCCAAATAACTTTAACTCTCTCTGTTTCAATATAGTGAGATCCATTACTGTAATCTGTGTTTGGTGCTGATAATGTTAAATGAAAATCTTGACTTGCTTCTTCATATGAAAAAAAATCAGAGTTCCTTTGATTGTTACTGTTGTCCATTAATTAAAATATTTAAAAATTTTTTAATAAAAAAAGTTCTTTAACAAATTTTATTAAAGTTAGTTAATAATTTAAATATTTTGATTAAAAAAATTAACTCTATAAAAATTAATATATACAGTGGCTTTTAAAATAAAAAGACAACCTTTTTTATTTTTTAAGTGAAAGAAACATAATAAAAAAAATATTATATTTTAAAATAAAAAAGTGATCATAAATTCCCTTCAGAAAATACATTTAATAAATAAATTTACATATGATAAAAACATTTTTAGAATGTTAAAAAGCTTTTATAAAAAAAGGTATTAAGTTTGGTTTTAATCTAACACGAATTGGTAGTAATAGAAACACAATTCAAAAGTAGATATTTAAGTTAAAAAATGGTATTTTTATTAAAGAAAAAGAGTTGTTCCAACCATTTCATAAAACCTTTTTAGTTAAAGATCTTGATAACAATTATGTGATATCTCACGTCACTACGGATTGATTTATAAATCAATCATTTAATGATTGGTTAATTCCCTCTTAAAAAATATTTAAATAAAACCCCCTTAATAATGAATGGTTAAAACAAGCATCTCTTTAAAACATTTATCACGTGAACAGTCTTTGAACCGTGCAAGGAATATTATAACACATACCATCTACTACACAGA